GGGGGAGTAGAAATACTCCTAGTCGCTTCATGCTACAGAAACCGGGATAAGCTCTGGCCTGATGGGCCACTTGGCTCGTATGCAGACTTAACCTTTTTGATGTCATCTAGCTGCAGATTATACAATAATCATGTCAAGGACACTCAAGGTCACCAGGGGTAATCATGTCATGTATGACCGCGGTAGATGATTTCTAGGGGTAATCATGTCAAGTTTGCACGTTTTGTGTTGCTTGCTATCGGTGAAGAAGCAAAAACATGACTTCCATTTTTTTTTGTTCAGTGTATAATAAAACAATTTTATTATATAAACAATAGTGAAATACCAGGATTTTTCCTTTTACTAAAAAATCATATCTTCATTGCATGCAGTGAAGATACTATTTTTATCTTTCACACTGTGAAGATATCATTCCTTTTTGATAACATTTTTCTTTTGTCCCTTTAACTACACTTAAATTTGTTGATGTATGATTGAAACATCTTCGGATCTTCTTCGGTTGTCTTCGGCAATCTTCGGTAATCTTCGGAAAATGTTCGGAAAATGTTTGGAACAATTCGTCTGGCCTTAAGAACAATTTTGGAAAATCTTCCGAAATTGGTCGGAAATCTTCGGAAAATCGTCAAAAATGTCGCCATTAGTATGTTTATATAATAAACAGAATATTACATGCCTGCTTGTGGATACGAATTTTATCTTCTCGTGTTAACTCAATATCTCACTCGTTCGCTGTGCTCACTTGTGAGATACCGAGTTGAACACTCGAAGATAAAATTTGTATATACGCGCGGGCATGTAATATCCTCTATACAGGTATAACCCCTACCGCGACCTTGATTATTCTGGATATCACAAAAACCTCATCCAAATATTTTCCCCATCGGGCTAATTTCTTAGTAAACATGGAGTCCACAAAATCTGCTCAATGGAGGTGGCCGGTTAATGGGGTTTTATTAACAGCATTTTACTGGCAATAATTTCGGGACTTTGATAACTGGCCGTTGAATAAAGGGTGACCGCTTAATAGGTAGCCGCTTGATAGAGGTTCGACTATAATCTCCAATCTCGAGTTAATGTTACGTTTTCTCCTCACAATTTTCTTTAATATCTTAAGTTACTTTTGTCATGCGTTTTGAAATTAATACGTTTCAGGGTGTGATTACTAATTGCCTAAAACCCGAAGCTGGAGTATTTGAACTGGACAATAAAATAAGGTAAACATATTAATACTTCAAGTAAAACAATTCAAACTGCACAGTGTTCAATCAGGT